CTGCTACTAGAGTCTTTAGTTTAGACAGGTTATTTGGCGCAGGCTTTTGCACAAGGTTCACATGTTTACATGAAATATGTCAAAAACAGTAGAAATGTCCACTTGTACTGAAAACGCTGATGTGATATTTTCAGATTTGCACTTGTCAGCTACAAAAAAGAAGCTCAGTAACAAGTAACAAACTGATATATCAGCCAAACCGATTAATTGGTTGATATATAGTCATTTTGATAATGATAAATTTACCTTTTGTGTCAGAGTCAAGAATCTACTAACAGCTTTATCAATGAATGAAAAACTTTTTTTTAGTAAAAAAAAAAGGTTTCGCTAAAATTTTGAGAGGCGGCTCATTGCCGAAGGACTTTACTACGATCAATTAATTTATCAATTTATCATAAAGAGTTGAAAGTACCCTAATTTCATTTTATTTTCCGTTTCAGCTAAATGAAAACTTTATATATGCACTGAAAAATTTATGTCAGTGTATTGCTTTTTTTTTCAACCGCAATTTTATAAAATAAGCTTTTGTAAAGTAATAGTGCTGTCAAACGATTAATCGCATCCAAAATAAAAGTTTTTGTTTACATAACATATATGTGTGTGTACTGTGTATATTTATTATGTATATATAAAGACACACACATACAGCGTATATTTAGAAAATATTTACATGTATATATTTATATTCATATAAATTATATCATATATAAATAAATATATTTAATATATAAACGTAACATATTTTTCTTAAATATATACATGCATGTGTGTGTATTTATATATACATAATAAATATACACAGTACACACACACATATGTTATGTAAACAAAAACTTTTATTTTGGATGCGATTAATCGTGATTAATCGTTTGACAGCACGAGTTTATTAAAACAAAATCTAAATTGCTCGTTTATATCACCCAATTTTGAGAAAAAAAGTCAGAATTGCGAATTTATATAAAGCAATACTGAGAAAAAAAGAGTAAGAATTGTTTTTGTTTTATTTTTCCAGATTGTTTGATATCCACCAAAGCAAATTTGACAAAACATATCCAGGTCACATTTTTTTTAACCTCAGAATCAATGTAAAATACTTATTATATTATGCTTAAAAAAAATTATGCATATTTTTTGCAGCAGTCAAGAGCAAATGTATGTTTGCAGCTGAACTCCCATAGAAACAAGTGTGGCAATGCAATCAAGTTTAACGCGAAATCATTACAAATCACATTTCAAAGGCCTAGTATTTCCCACAATTCTCAGTGCGAACCCTCAAATGGTTAAAGGTGGATTCAGCAAGATCTCTCACAGATTGTGGAGTCTGTATCGGCACTATTACTGATCTCTGCATCAAAAAAGGAAGTTGCCAGAGGATTGCACTTTCTGCCACAGACCAAATTGCACAGAATGATTTAAGAATTGTCGCAATCGAATGACACACTCAACTCATGTGAAGTATTTAAGATACTTATGATGCTAAACATTGCCGTTTGGGTAGGTAGCTCACTAGTTTTGCCCAAAAATGCTGTGTAGGCACACTAAAAAAAAACGGCATATGCTGGTTAGGTATGTTTTGAAGCATGACAGCTGGTTTAAGCTGCTTTAAGCTGGTCCTGGTCCTAAGCAACTGGCTCTTGCTCAGGACCAGCTCATAACCAGCTCATGACCAACAAAGGACCAGCTTAAACCAGCTGCCATGCTTCAAGACATACCTTATCAGCATATGCTGTTTTTCCAACAGGGTCTTATGATGCCCAGCTCATTTTGGTTTGCCAAAGAGAACCAGAAATGCTATCTAGGCAGTATATGATGATGCCAGAGCCATCTTTAAAATTCAGGCAGTTTAATGCCTACAAAAACGGCTGGTAGAGACTACAAGTTACTTCCCGGGTTGGTGACATCACAAACCCAGATAAACTCCGCCCTCGAGAAAAGGCAGCAAAGGGGGCGGGGCCATGCTGCGCTGCTTTAGAGAAGAGGAAGAGAAAACTAGAAGTGCACGTAAAAATCATTCATATATGAATCGCGATTCTGTCTTCTAACGATTCTAATGGATTCACAAGTTTCAAAATCAATGTTCTAAAGCAGCGGTTCTTAATACTGTTCCTTGCGTCCCCCTGCTCTGCATCTCGCTCTCTCTCTCTCATCCAGCTCAGCTACAACAATGAACTGTTCCATTTATACACTTATTTTCACATAGCTATGAGAAGCGTTAAACATGGACGCACGTGCAGTTGCCGTACTGTATTAAAGCTTTAATCAAGATAAAACCGTATATTAAAAGCTAACATAAGCAGTAGCATTTGCAAAAGAAAGCGTATCTAAAAGTATGAGACAATAACAAACAAAAAACATAGAGGCCTGCCATTAAAAGCCGTGCTTGCACAGGTTCTGCACGATCCTCTTCACTAATATCCTCTGCTTCTCAATCGGTCTCAAACTGATAAGCGATATTAACGACGCCTTGTTTACAATACAACCGGAGCACATGCCGCTGAGGTGAGGGGCGGGTCGATTAGACGTGCACTAGAGGCGTCTTAGCCAATCACAACACACTGGGCTAGCTAACCAATCAGAGCCCATCCCGCCCTTCCCAAAAACGTAATGCGTTTTTTTTTAAACGAAGCATTAACACATGTTAGACTGCACCCCATAAACACAATCAAGCCTAGAAAAAAAAACAGTGAACCACTCCAAGTATTTAAGATACTTATGATGCTAAACATTGACGTTTGGGTAGGTAGCTCACTAGTTTTGCCCAAAAATGCTGTGTAGGCACACTAAAAAAAAACGGCATATGCTGGTTAGGTATGTTTTGAAGCATGACGGCTGGTTTAAGCTGCTTTAAGCTGGTCCTGATCCTAAGCAACTGGCTCTTGCTCAGGACCAGCTCATGACCAACAAAGAACCAGCTTAAACCAGCTGCCATGCTTCAAGACATACCTTATCAGCAAAGAAAAGATAGATATATTTATAGATAGATGATAACGACAGACAGAACAGCAGATTGAAGAACAATAGATAGAAAGAACAGTAGATAGAATGATAGAACAATAGATGCAAACTATGACAGATAGAAAGAATGAAAGTTAGAATGACATATGATAGATAGAACAATAGAATGATAGAAATAACAATAGAACAATAGAAAGAATGGTAGATGTAGAATGATAAAATAGAGTGATAGAATTAAGGAGCCATAGACAGAAAGAGTGATAGAATGATAGAAAGAACAGTTGACAGAAAGAACGTTAGATAGATAGATCAACAGAAAGCTGTAGAACAGAATGTCGATAGAACAATAGATAGAAAGAAGAGTAGATAGAATGATAGAACAATAGTTAGATAAAAAACAATACAATGACAGATAGAAAGAATGATAGAACAAAAGATGGAATGACAGAAATGTAGATAGAATGATAGAAAGAACAACAGACAGAAAGAACACTAGAATGATAGTTAGAACAATGGTAGATGTAGAATGATAAAACGATAGAATGAAAGAGCGATATAGAATCATAGAAAGAACAGCCGAAATAACGACAGATAGAACAATAGATAGATAGATTCTGTAATTGTTGACTTTATTGACTTGATATTAATGAAGAATCAGAACACATTCATTTACAAATGTTACAATCAAACATTCACATACACTGCAAACAAAGCAAAAAAAAAAAGTGAGATGAATGAAGAAATGTCATTCTGAACATGTGCTGTAAACACAGTCTGTCCCGACCAGACCTCCTACAACAGTCAAATCAGACACCTTCTTTCCGAAGGTGAGGTTGGGTATTTTTAGACATGCATATGAAACACCCACATAGTAGAACAAAAGTCTGATTAGAAACATACAGACGCAGATGTTAGGTTCTCAACTACTCGCTTAAACAATAAAACAATTCATACACATCATGTGCATTTCAGTTATGCTGCCTCTGTCTTATAGGATATTCATTTTGAAAACTCATAACACCTTTGAGGGCATTTTTCTCACCCTTTCGTCTGTACCTCCTGTACACAGTCTTCATGCATGTGTTTTTCTCATTTTCGCTGCAGCAGCAATTCAGACAAGTGCATTTCAAAAAACTGACCAACTTAAATTAAGCATAAATCTTTTCCTTGATGTGCAAGAAAGCAAAAGTTATTACTCAGCGTTTTCCATCTTGTACATCTGCGCATTCCGTATTCGACATACAGTGCAATCAAGGTAGCCTGTACATTTTGCCAGCGTACATGTTTCTCTGGAACTGAAACCATGACTTGGCCATTGCTGATGTTATGCTTTACCAGGAATCTTATATCTGGCCACTTGTGATTTTCAGCCTTGTGATTCAAACCTGGAATCTTCCTAAAGGCCATCATGAAAGATGCAAGAAACCACATTCGAGTTCTCACTTTCCAGTTGCCGGCACAGGAAAACTCAAGTTCAGTTCCTCCTCGGCCTCTTCCTGTGCACTTATTTTTATTCTGATCTCTTGCGAGGGTGGATTTGACTCTTGCTGTGGTCTGCTGATGAGGGGAACGCCTTCTTCGCAAACTCCTGCCTCTTCCTTTTTATCACCCGAGTTGGAGCCCAAAATCACCATTCCAGGAGAGTAGATGTAGATTACAATGACAGATAGAAAGAATGATAGAACAATAGTTAGATAAAAAACAATACAATGACAGATAGAAAGAATGATAGAACAAAAGATGGAATGACAGAAATGTAGATAGAATGATAGAAAGAACAACAGACAGAAAGAACACTAGAATGATAGTTAGAACAATGGAAGATGTAGAATGATAAAACGATAGATAGAATGAAAGAGCGATATAGAATTATAGAAAGAACAGCCGAAATAACGACAGATAGAACAATAGATAGATAGATTCTGTAATTGTTGACTTTATTGACTTGATATTAATGAAGAATCAGAACACATTCATTTACAAATGTTACAATCAAACATTCACATACACTGCAAACAAAGCAAAAAAAAAAAGTGAGATGAATGAAGAAATGTCATTCTGAACATGTGCTGTAAACACAGTCTGTCCCGACCAGACCTCCTACAACAGTCAAATCAGACACCTTCTTTCCGAAGGTGAGGTTGGGTATTTTTAGACATGCATATGAAACACCCACATAGTAGAACAAAAGTCTGATTAGAAACATACAGACGCAGATGTTAGGTTCTCAACTACTCGCTTAAACAATAAAACAATTCATACACATCATGTGCATTTCAGTTATGCTGCCTCTGTCTTATAGGATATTCATTTTGAAAACTCATAACACCTTTGAGGGCATTTTTCTCACCCTTTCGTCTGTACCTCCTGTACACAGTCTTCATGCATGTGTTTTTCTCATTTTCGCTGCAGCAGCAATTCAGACAAGTGCATTTCAAAAAACTGACCAACTTAAATTAAGCATAAATCTTTTCCTTGATGTGCAAGAAAGCAAAAGTTATTACTCAGCGTTTTCCATCTTGTACATCTGCGCATTCCGTATTCGACATACAGTGCAATCAAGGTAGCCTGTACATTTTGCCAGCGTACATGTTTCTCTGGAACTGAAACCATGACTTGGCCATTGCTGATGTTATGCTTTACCAGGAATCTTATATCTGGCCACTTGTGATTTTCAGCCTTGTGATTCAAACCTGGAATCTTCCTAAAGGCCATCATGAAAGATGCAAGAAACCACATTCGAGTTCTCACTTTCCAGTTGCCGGCACAGGAAAACTCAAGTTCAGTTCCTCCTCGGCCTCTTCCTGTGCACTTATTTTTATTCTGATCTCTTGCGAGGGTGGATTTGACTCTTGCTGTGGTCTGCTGATGAGGGGAACGCCTTCTTCGCAAACTCCTGCCTCTTCCTTTTTATCACCCGAGTTGGAGCCCAAAATCACCATTCCAGGAGAGTAGATGTAGATGGACCCTATTACAGACAAATAATGATGAAGTCAACAGGCTTTTCTACTTAAAATCAAAAATGACCCCTATTAAAGCCTTATGGCATTCTTTTTTTAAAGAAGTCTCTTATGCTCACCAAGGCTGCATTTATTTGACCAATAACACAGTAAACAGTAATATTCTGAAATAACTGGCTTGTATCTGAATATATTTCAAAATGTAATTTATTTCTGTGATGCAAAGCTGAATTTTCAGCATCATACTCCAGTCTTCAGTGTCACATGATCCTTCAGAAATCATTCTAATATGCTGATTTGCTGCTTAATTATTTTGAGTTATCTTGAATTATTAGTCATTATTATTATTATAGTATTAAGAATAAATTACATCTTATGCACATACATGTGCATTGCAACATGCTCAATCTAGTATTATGGGATGCATTCTGGCATAACATTCTCCAGAAAGCATACAGCTTTCTTTCAAAACAAGGCACCATAATGTTGCTGTTTACCTTTTGAAATGGCTTTGGAGTGCAACTGTGAAATCTTAAAATACTGTCTAGGCCGGCAGACAGAGAAGAACCAAGAGCAAGGTTTATTTTTCCACTTATCCTTTTTCCTTATTCAGTTTGCCATAGCTTACATCTATTATGGGCGTTTTTGTTATTATGGACTACTGAGTCTTGTTCTTTAGCAGGAAATCCAAAACAATCGAAAAAGCAACTATGTTGTAAAAGTGAAAAAAAAAAAAAAAACGTCCAGGAAGTAAAAGTGGGAATTTAGACAATAGTGGACTCGAACATAAAGTGCTCTGTGATTAAGTGTTCAGGAAACATGAGGTGTGTCTGTTCCAGAGGTTAAGTGAAGCTAAAAGAAGTTCATCACACATCACATAAACAATCAAAATCATTTAAAGTCCGTGTAAAGGCAAATCAGAGACTTGTTTCTAAACACATTATAAATGTTAGAAATGTATTGCTGAAACACATTAGAAAGACTGTGAACTATGTAGTACTGAATTATGGAATGTTCAGAATTTTTTTGGGGGAGGGGCTAAAAATCAGGTCTCGATGACACACTGGAGCCACTGAGCATGGCCCCTCCCCTAACACTATAAGAACTAGAGCACATTAGCATCAATGGTTCGCGAGTTGCTGTCATTACCGTTAGTTACTGCAGCCAGTTTGCTAGCTAGCTATGCCTTTGTCACGTATAATTGCATATTACTTGTTGTATGGCTCATGGCTGTGTAAATCCAACTGGCAGCAACCATTCAGGTTGTAGCGGTATTTGACAGTTGATAGAGATGGCAGCTTTTCCGTGAGTGGGCGTGGTTTCAGCGGCGCCATTGGACACGCCCCCAGCACTTGAGAGCAGAGAATACAACTTATTTTTTTTTAAGATTTTAAAAACTTATTTTATTTACTTGGCGGCTCTTTTTATCATTCAAATCTGGCTAGGTGGTTAATACCGCATTTTTCTGTGGTGTGGCAAACTCGGAACACATTCGATAATTTTGGGGAGGGGCTAAAAATCAGGTCTCGATGACATCCCCTAACACTATAAGAACTAGAGCACATTAGCATCAATGGTTCGCGAGTTGCTGTCATTACCGTTAGTTACTGCAGCCAGTTTGCTAGCTAGCTATGCCTTTGTCACGTATAATTGCATATTACTTGTTGTATGGCTCATGGCTGTGTAAATCCAACTGGCAGCAACCATTCAGGTTGTAGCGGTATTTGACAGTTGATAGAGATGGCAGCTTTTCCGTGAGTGGGCGTGGTTTCAGCGGCGCCATTGGACACGCCCCCAGCACTTGAGAGCAGAGAATACAACTTATTTTTTTTTAAGATTTTAAAAACTTATTTTATTTACTTGGCGGCTCTTTTTATCATTCAAATCTGGCTAGGTGGTTAATACCGCATTTTTCTGTGGTGTGGCAAACTCGGAACACATTCGATAATTTAACGCTTTACATAATCTCCAACCTGCTATATAAAAATGAAAAATAAATATTCTTTGGAAGGTATTGCAAAATGCCTTTTGTTTGTAAATTAATAGTTGCCCATAAATAAACAGCTAGTCATCCATTACTCTTTTCACTACACTAAAAGTAGATGATGTATACTGCCAGCCTCCAAAAAAAGACAAAGGGCAATGCAAAAAGTGATGTTCTTGCGCTGTATTTTCCAGAAGTGGGTAGAGTATCCAAAAACTGTGCTCAAGTCGTGTTGTATTTTTATGTCAAATTTAACCAGTTACTTCAGTCAATCACAATACTATAATACTATAATTTTTTTCCAGCATCAACAAAAGCCATCTTTACACTGCAAAGGTGTAACAGTAGCTGCATCGGACATGGCATTTATGTTTATTTACCCAGACTGTTTAATGTTGCTCATGTACACATATTTACACAAAAATCGCATAATGTATATACAGTGGGTACGGAAAGTATTCAGACCCCCTTAAATTTGTCACTCTTTTAAATAAAAGAATGAACCCATTAGAAGGTGAAGCATATCATGAAAAAAAAATATTATTGCTGATTATTGCTCTTGATATGGTGACAATGATCATTCATATTGATTAGAACTAATAGAAAGGGTAAAGCATGAACCGTTTATGAATTGCTTAGTTTTTACAGATTAGCCTAGACAATCAAGACTTCACATTGGTTATTTCAGTAGCTATCACGAAAAACAAAACATGTTCAAACTGGGAATAGATTATATAAAGAAAGTGAGCAAAGAACACCAAAGCGGTCCCATGACTTCAGTCTGATGTTATGCACTTTCGCACAAACTCCCATTATAATCACTGAAGCTGCTGTCTACACTACAAAATCAATTTCTTACTTGCATAGCTTGGGCCCTATGAAATATATTAAAAACAAATTTTTTTTTGTTTTGTTTTTTCAAAATTCATTTTTTTCCATTATACAATTTTCTGGATTCCATTTTTTTCTGTTTAAATTTGTCTAGACTCTGTTTTAATATTTAAATTCAAATTTATTTATCAAAGAGCATGTCATGAAACTCACAATATTAAACAGCAAATTATAAAAAAATTAAATATATTACATTTTTAAGGACCTATGAAATGTTTTATTTTTGCTCAAATTCAGTTTTTTTTTTTACCAAATTCTGTTTTCCATTAATTTTCTGAATTCTATTTTAAAGGTTTCATTAAATATTAATAATCAAAAGCATCTCTAATTAATTGATTTTATATTTAAAAAATATTTATTATTATTTTATTTATTTAAATAAATGTATGCTAAATCAATTCTGGTAAATATTCCTTTAAAAATCATGTTTTAATTATAAAATAATCATTTTATTACTAGTAGTTGTAATATCATTATATTAAGTAATATTTCTGTCATGGTTTCTTCAAGTTAAACCATACTTTTATTTTGAGGGGTTGCTGTGAAGACCTTTAGGTTTCTGTTTGTATATGATAATGATAGTTTTACTCAAAAGAAATGGTCAAATGCTCATGAAGTGACTCTAAGAGTAGTTCTAGAGATTATGATCATGTGTTCATGTACTCATATATTGAGGCAGCAGATGCTGAAAACACCACCAGCGTCACGCATGCTTCAGTGTGTGTAGTAAACGAAACCGCGCGCCTGTGCCATTAATTCACAGAGACACGCAGGATTCATATTTAAATGGTATTTTTGCAGCTTAATATTTACAGATACTAGTCCATATCGCATTTTGATTTAAGTGTACTGACCTACTTTTCATATCTCCATCAAAAATTTGGCAAATTCCGTGACATCCCATGTTATTCGGTAAATTCCGTTGTCAGGACTGGATTTCATGATGCTGTCCACGTTTTCCACATTGCAGAAATCATAGGGCCCTACATAGCCCATTTTATGCAGTTTGTTGTTTATGCTGATGAGAGAATTTGTGAACGCAGATTTAGAATTCAGTCAATGAGAATGCGCACTGAACAGCTGCGGAGTTCTCCGCGGTGATGCCTCTGATTGAACATTTCATTCATAAACGCAACAGAAATGAGTGTGATTGGTTATAATGCTCAAAACCGTGTTTAAAAAGAAATCTGATGTAACGTAATAAAGCAAATCTACTATAAATCAAATGCTGCAATCGACACTTTTCATTCATTTCACTTTAATCATGACAGTCGTAAAAGATCTAGCTTACAGCTGCTACAAAGTAGGCCTATTGTGAAATGAAATCGAATGAAGAGGCTACCGGTGCAATCGTTCACAGCACATGCAGGTGTTCAACTACTAGAGATTTTCATCGCAGGCCAACAGAAGAATTTGCAGATTTGGTTTCAGTTGACTTGAGGTTCATTTCCACTTCATCCAACGCTCTTTGGGCCCTATTTTAAAAATCTAAGCACATGATCTGAAGCGCACAGTGCAGGTGCACTTATGGCGTGTCCGAATCCACTTTTGCTAGCTTAACGACGGGAAAATGGTTTAAAAGGGCTGTCCCTATTCTCTTAATGAGTAATGGGTGTGTTTTGGGCATAACATGCAATAAACCAATCAGAGTCTCATCTCCCATTCCCTTTAAGAGTCTGATCTCCCAGTTGCTCTCGCGCCATTGCGGGTTTGCTATTATGACGAAATTTGCAAGCGCAAAGACTGAACGCGTCTCCAGAGAGGAAACAGATCTGCTCGTGCGTGAGCAAAGGGGTAGGCTAATTTTGATACATGCAATGACTATCCATTATGACATGTAGGCATTTTTATATTTATGTAGCCTACAAAATAATAATCTTTTACATTGTAATCCTTTCATTTGTAATATTTGGCATGTTTGTGTGCTGCTGTGTAGAGGTCTGCATTCCCGCGGCTCTTAACCGAACCAACCGTATTTTTTGTGCCGCGGGATTAAATTCCCGGTCGGGTCGGGAAGAAAATTATTCTAAGGACAGCGGGGTGAACAAAGAGTGAATATATAGCGGGAGCGGGTGGGTGCGGAATAGAACCTTGCGGGAGCGGGACTAAGAAAACAGTCCCACGCAGACCTCT